TAAATAAATAAGTAACTTCAGTTCACACAAAAAGGACTGCAGGATTTAATATGATCTCTTGAGAAGAAACAAGTAGAAACCAAAAAAGATATTTTTGGACATCAGACTCATTGTATGACACAGTTCTAACATATCTGTAACACACCTCTCTGAGGTTTCACACATTCTGCTTATTTTCATGCTTCCTGAGTGATTCTCCTCATCAGAGAGTTTGTTGAAGTGCATTAAAGTCCCAGTTCTACCTTGGGGATGGATTCTGTATTTATAGTTTACAGCCTGTGGGGATTTTATCCAAGGTCAGTTGTAGATTACCTATTTGGCTCATTGAGCAGCGAGCTCTGTTAGATCCCCTTTTTAATGTGCATCGGTGATTGATTATGCTAGTGTGTTTCTATGCCAGTAGAGGCCTTGACTGATGCATACAGAGAGCAATATATGTATGTGTGGATAGTTCTTGTGCAGAATGTGCAATCGATGCATGGACTCTCCTCACAATAATTACCTCATCCAGAAGAGGGGAAAGCCTGAGGGTTTAGTGTGTGTGTGTGTGTGTGTGTGTGTGTGTGTGTGTGTGTGTATCTATCATTCTTGCTTCCCAGCTGGCTTTTTGAGTCATGGATTGTTGCAGTGTCAGAGAGCGTGAAACTCCTCTTCATCAGTCTCCAATCAATGCTGTTGGTGGAAGCAGGGAGATATGAGGATAGAAGGGAAAACGATGGACACAGAGAAAAAGACACCGCAAACGTCAGAGAAAGGCAGACGATGTAGACTGAGAGACTGAAAATCAAAGTGTAATATTTTGCTCCACTGAATGATGAAGAGGAAAAAGAAAAATGAAATGTGCTGTACGGGGTCCTTTTAGGTATGAAAAGGAAACTCAGTGTCCCTTTCATACTTAAAAGAATTACAGGAACCATAAGAATATAACAGGGGGACCTTGGGTATTTCTCTAGCTTTAACTTGATAAGTGCTAATTTTTAACGACCCACTGACCAAGTTAACTGCACATATCTGTGAATATAATAATTTAAAACATGCTGAGGCCATAAGACACAAGACTTCCAAGTCCTAAACAAAGTCAGACGAACTTCATTGTAAAGGTATTATAGTGAGCTGCTGGGTTGGATAACAGTCTGCACTAATTTACCTAATTAAATGGTAACTGATTGCATATTTCAAATAATTCATAGAGCATTTTTAATCTTTGCCCGGTTTTCTCTGCAGAACTAGTACCAAATTTCTTTCAGTGTGTTTACTGAGGTCCTGTTTGAAGCAATTAAGCTCTTTCCCTCTGAATTACACCTCTTTCACATTTACAGATCAGCCTGTTAGTATACCAATCTGTGCTTTTGTTTGAAAAACAAAGGGGGGTATAGTGCAGATATAAGAGAACAGCAATTTGTTAGCATGCAGCAGTAAAGGTGAAGTGATAAGAAGTAGTCACACAATGTAGAAAAAGATAACCTATTTTGAAAGCTGTTATCCCATTGAATCACCATCAGTTGTTATCTATCTTATATTGCCAGTAATTGGCAGGTTCAACCAACTGGTAGGATACTGGTTTGTGTCATTAACTCTTTTAACTACGGTTTTGCTGCACTGCTCCAAAAGACACATGTGCCTAATCACACGTTAGGCAAGTGTTATACTTTCCTTTGCCATATACAAGATGCAAAAGTCTGCTTACACAAAGGTGATGCAAATTTTGTTATCAGAGGGTGAAAGAGACTCGTGGATGTATGCGTGAATTCCAATTTGCTGCGACTCCACAGACCTGTCAGCACCCACACAGCAGACTAAAAGGGCACCAACTGTGAGCCCTTGTAGTCTAGTAGACTACGCACATAAGGACAAATACACCTGTGTTGCGTCTACAGTGGGGATAATCCTAGCTGTAGTGAGTTTTATTTACTTTTATATATATATATATATATAAATACCAGGGTGAAAATATACAGGCACATTTTTCTAGATGTCTACATTCCTTTCTTTTTATTGGTGTTAAAATGGATTATAAATGACTTTATGGGTTGCAATAGAAGTACAGTATATTTGGTTGGTTATTATCTATGGTAGGGATTAAAACAAAGGTTATCTGAAAAATGTTTGAAGTGTCACGTTCCTAATCACTGATCAGAGCTGATGCCAGCTGAGACTTCACCAGTATCTCTGCTTCAGTTACCCACACACATATGAAAGCACGCATACACTGGTTCAAAATAGCAGGTGAAGACAGGTCGGTGTCAGGACATTCTTGTCACAGCGACGTTCAGTATTTGCACATGATTGTTGAATGATGTCTCTCTCGTTTTCTCTCTCTCCACATGTGTGTGTGTGTGATATGACATGTCATGCAGCTGTCTTGCTCTGATCCCAACTAACCCTAAGTCAGAAAAGGTGCTCCTATAAAAGCAGCACATGTGCAATCCAGAGAGCAGTCGCATTGTTTTTGTCTTTTCTTTTTTTAAATTCTCATAGGTTTTCCAGTTGCTCACAGCTTTTTAATGTTTTTATTTATTTACTTATTGTCTTTCGCTGATACTCATTTCATGTTGATGGTGTTGAGACATATGTAGTATATTCAGTATACTGTGCCAGTTGAAGTATTTTAACATTCTAAAATGGATAGTTGCTTTGGTTCATGGAGACTTAAGACTAGACTAGATCTGGAAGTTAGGCTTCTACATCCTATAAATATAAATAACACAGATAAAACAGCATTTTAAATTTAAATGTCCTCTTGTAGTTTGGATATTTTTCAGTCAAAAACATATAAACACACCACTTTGTTTTGCTAATTTTATATCTATCTATATATAAAAATTAATTGTGTACTTGTCTGTCCGAACATGCATTTAAATTGTAGATGCAACAGTTTGAAAAGTAACTGTAGGCTTGCTGTATATTCAGGTATTAGCACGGAGACATATATCACTCAGCGTCGTGTATGCTGAAAGGTCACCACAGATTTCTCACAACCTTTATGTATTGTTTTGTCAGTGATCTCTCTATGCGGCATACTCTATAAACAGGTGACACATCCCTAGACAGTGGCTGCTTTCTCTTTCTTAGACATTTCCCATTTCCTAAGAAGCGACTTGGTGTCTCGGTGCTTATTCAGCACATTGAAAGCACGAGTCAGCTCTCCCTTATCAAATTGCTTGTCATATTCACAAAAGAGAGCTGGGAGACTGCTGCAGGACACACTGATATGCAGTAAGCCAGCCTCCTTTTTAAAGTCATTGGAAAGAAATCAGTGAGCTTAAAATAAACCAAGATATTATGATGGAGGAATTATTACTCTTGGATATGAGTTACTGGCTAGAACCATCTTAACCATTTAAGTCAGTCATCTGCCTTTATGATCTATTTCATAAACATTAACAACAACTCATTTAGTGACATTTCTAGTTTAATATGAGCCATTTATTAGCGTTGACCTTATAAATAGAATAAACTGCTAGATCAGTTTTTAAAAATGGAATTGAAGTATATTTGCATAAAAGTGCTGGCTATTTGCTGCTGTGGTCAATTAAGATAGATTAAAGGACTAAAGTGGTGATTTCCTCATCTACTGATGGCACTTTGAGGCACAACGGGCTCACGTGTTGTCAATGCCATTGCATGTGTGCGCAACTGTATGTGTGTGTGTGTGTGTGTGTGTGTGTGGTGGGTTGGGGGAGGACCAGTATGCTACTGATGCTATTCTATGTGTCATGCACCTTGACAGCTTCTGTTATTTTTTGTTAAGACTGCATGTTTCTGATCTTGTTTGGAAGATATATGTATATTTTTTCCTCTCTACGTTTGTATTTGTGTGTTTGTTTGTTTGTAGGTGTGTAAATACTTTAAGCTAGCATGCGTTTTTTTCTCTGTGTATGTAAACAATACTGATATTAAAATGACAAACTGTTGTTTTTATGGAGAAGCATCTAACCACTTCCCTTGACAGACAATTGCCTGATAAACTTAAACACTACACAAACACTCAGGTTGAACAAAAAAAATGTTTAAAGAGTATTTAAAGAATCTACTGAAAAAAAAGAAAAAAGAAGTTTAATTCAGTACCCTTATTGTATCTGCTCAAAGTGTCAGATGCTTTCATACTTTACTTTTTTTCTTGTATTGATTAAACAAACATACATAATTAATCTCAATATTATTATGCCAGAGCAAAGTCATTATTGTGTTATTGCTCAGTTTGTTTCCTTTAAATAAAACTGATTATTCTAAATTGTATTATGAAAATTACTATGTGTGCTTATTCATGCTTTATGATTTATAGCATGCCTTGGCAAAAGCATGAAAATAAATGGATAAAGAATAACCCAATAATCACTCAAAAAATATATATTTTTTGGGGGGGTCTCCTTTCTTTCTCTCACTGCCTTTAAAATATTGGGATAGTTGATATTCTAAACAGGGATATGTATGGACAGATGTTTGTGTGTGTTGTGACATCAAATCACTTTTAAAATGCATTTGGGGAAGTTGTCACATGATTCTCTAGAGTGCTCTGCTCTTAAAAAAAACTCTGCTTCTTTTACAGTCTTTGTTTGTTTTTTTTTCTCTTCTATTCTGATCAATTCAGTTGTTACCACAATATCTGATGTGTGTAATTTATGCTACTTTATGCAATGTTTTAAAGTTTATGATCTTGAGACGTTTATCTTTAGTTCAGTCTTCATTTTCAACAGAAAACTAACATTTTTTGCCTCTTTTTTTAAAGTCCCTCTTTTTTTGGTCTTTAACTTCTTAAATGAACTCATGCAGAGTAAATTCCAACATTAAACAAAGTGGACATTGTGGTAATGTTTGCCCAGTCTGCTTGTCAATGTGAGGATTTTTCTAAAAAGAAAAAAAGAAAAGAAAAGAAAAAAGGGGGCTATAAAATCAGTAATGATTGAAAAAACTTTCTTTCTTTTGAGAGCATCTTTTGAAGACTGTTTGTGTTCTTGATCACCCTGTTTTCCTCCATCTTCTCCTTCTTGGTCCTATAGGTCCCCTTACAAAGAAACACAGTGATGATTTAGGTGATAGTGACCGCACGGACGACGAAGGTATTTTTTCCCCCAATGCCAAACTGATTTGCATGACAAGGGAAATCAAACTTACCCTTTCTCCTACAATTTTTATCTTCTTTGATTTTCTTACATTTCTTGTCCTTTTTTTGAAATTGATGGACATTTTCTTTTTGCTCTTTACTCGTAAACTCTCTTTTTGGGCTGGATGTGTTTTGTCCTCTTCAGCTTGATGTCTAAAATTTACATGTCTTCCACCATTCTTTGATATTAAAACTGTAACATATGTAGATTACCTGCTTGGATTTGCTGTTTCCTTTTCTTTACTTTTCTATGTTGCATCCCACCAGCAGATAGAATAACTATTAACCCTTCAGTCAGCTCTTAACACATTTTTGCATGTTTTTTGTTTTGATTTGCCTCGTTTCTAAAATATGATCATGTTCAAAAGTGTAACCGTTGGCTAACTGGCTTTTTTCTACATTAACAGATCTATTTATGTTTTTGGCATCAAAATAACCTTTGTAAATATGATAAAAATACTAGAAGACATGTTAATATCTTTCTCAGCCCTAGTTGCTGCAAAGACTTGTGGGGTGCAATGCTGGACCAACTTACTACCTATTAATATGTAAAACTTGAATAAATACACTTATTCAGCATTTGCAAGGAACCCACATGACATAGCATTATGTTTAAGGTTTTCACCGATGTCCTCACTGTACATAAACACTTCTATCACTTGGTAATTTCAGTGGAGCAATCATGTTGCTTCTTTGATTGCAGTGAATGCTCACACCGCAGATTGCAATTAAAATTTAGCAAACATCTCTGTGAGACAAAGCTGCTTCTCAGGGGCAAATACCTCACTGGTGGAATTAAATCTCCTGTGAACCAACTCAGCAAAAGGTAAGACAAGGTGAAGTAATTATTGTGGCTTAGCTGATCAGTTTTCAAAGCAGACAAACTTGTAGTTAGAATGTATGTAATATATTATCATTAATATATTTAATTTCCATTAATATTGACTTTGGTAGGTAATTATTGATCCTGGTAATTAAAGACTGACATGTAGCTACATGTTTTAATTTAAAGCTCTGGAAAAGTGGACCCTGACGTAAGATTTACTTTATACATTTTTTTCTGTAAATAGTATATCTTTACAGGGTTAAACAGATTCCAATCTGCTGCACTTTAGGTCACTCATTGTAATATAAATAACTATATGGGCTAGTTATATACATTATATATAAAATCTGTGTCTGCATAGGGACAAGATGAAGGATGCTAACCCACAGTTTCCTGCCACAATGTGCTAGTACAGAAAATTATAAAGAGAAGACTCTATAACCATATATAGTAATCAAGACATGCTAGTTAACCCATAAATATATTGCCTGGTTCTGTCAAACTCACCATGTGTTTGAAAATAAGCAACATTGTTACCTGTTCTGCTCTTATTGCCATGAATTTTCTAAACTCAAATGCAATAAAAATAAATTATTTTGTCCCCATGTACTGCTAATCATTTAAAGCCATTTAATCCTTTAATGCAAGGCGTGTTGTATTGTTTAAAAAAAAAAACTTCAGGGTTCCGGCGAATGTCTTTTGAAAACTGCAATGACTCTTCTTTGTATTGAAATGAGTGGTGTTATGATGCTATGGCATTCCACTTGAAACCCATTAATCTCATCAGTAGAAGAAAGAAGAACCTTTGCTCAATTGCCATAAAATAAGAGATCTTTGAAAAGTCATATTACAAATAAAATGTCTTTGATAAAACCCAGAGATAGTGTCATATCCCCTTGAGACTGCTGCAGTGCAATTCTAATGACAGGCAGAAAGTCTTAATAAAGCACCTCTACTGTATAATGTGATGGAGTAAACAGCAATTACATCCAAGTAAAACTCACAACCATCCAGATCCTTTTGATCTGCATCATCATGCAGTTTTTATGGGAGTTCAAACACACACGCATACACACACACGTCAGTAAGATTATAGAAAGTCACAAAGCTCACACAGATCTATTCAATGAATTCCATGCTAGCTTCAAGTGTTATCTCGATAAAGGATGTGGAGAAGACAAGTAATCCAGTTTAATTTACAGGGAAATATGTTTCAGAATGCCTGCATGGACACGCAGACCCTCACTCTCTTTCAGGGCAACTCCAATCAGTCTGAACTCTCCCTCCCCATTTTACTTTCCACGTAGCTCTAGAGGCTTTGACCTTTGACATAGTGTTGCCTTTTATCTGCCAACTCATTGAGGACATCCCTTCACAACCCCTCCCATCCAGTATCTTGCATTTTATAATCTCTTTATATTCTCTAAAGCTGCTATTTGTAATCCTTTTTGTGCTGGGAATAGAGATGTAAACAGGAAAGCCCAGAGAACTTGTTAGAAGCTTCTGTTTCAACATCAAATATTGCTGGAATAGTTAAGAGTCAGAATGTGGAAGTGAAGCTGTTTCAAACTGTGGCATCTACTTATGGAGGCTCTAAGTATTACATGTTATTACCTGTGAAAGATTAACCTCCAGGGATACAGTATAGATTAGAGTGTTAGGGGCCCAGAGATGTTGCTAATACCATGTAGACAATCTTGGAGTAAAAGAAAAGATCATAACAGTATCAACGACTGTAGGAGGAAGCTGGAGTACACAGGGAGAACTTGCAGACTCCACAATGAAAGAGGTGAATGGTCCAGATGGTGGAATCGAACTCAGGACCTTCTTGCTATGAAGCATCAGCGCTTACCACTGTGCTCCCCTTCTTTAGAATTAGTTCTGTGGATTTAAATTCATACAAGATGGTAATTTTCCTTTGGCTTCAGGTCAGGGAAGCGGGTTGTCACTATTGATAGTGCTTAGATGCTGAGACTAGCTTAGAACACCTGGCCTTCTTGAAAATCTTGGGTGGGGTGCTGCAAGCATCCCTCCGAAGGCACTCTTGTCTACTAGGTACTTCAGTGCTCACATGGATAATGATAATGTAACCCCAAGAGTAGTTCTGTTTCTAGAGTTCAGTGCCGATCATGGATACTCCATAACGGAAACTATGTTTGACCATGATTGTGTCCAAAGTGCACTTGGCAACAGGAAATGTTGCCAAGTTTGGTTGGATTCTGGAGGTAGCTGATCAATGCTGGAAAAAAAAAAGGACATGGCTCTGTCAAATCCATACTGGCAAACTTTGGGAGAAGTCTGATGAGGCCAGGGAACAAGACTTTCAGTCGACTTCAAATCAATTCTGGCAAACCGTCAGGTATATATGGTTGGGTTGGCATGCTGACGTCAACTGAGGACACAAGAAATAGAAGCAGTGTTTGTGTGATGCATATGACTTCCATCACTAGGTGTGAAGTCACTGAGGTAGAGATGGCTGAGCTTTCCCTAGAGTCCATTCAGACTCTGGATGTTGTGGAAATGAATTGGCAAAGTGTAGTGGTGGAGAACGCATTTAAGCACTTCCCTTGTCCTCTGGAGCGTGGTGGTGCGGGGGCTGTCATTGTTGGCTATTTAGTCCATGTAGAGCAGTAGTAATAGTTTGTTTTTCATTGCTGGCAAGAAGTTGGACTCATTTCCCTTAGGTATGGGGCTCCACCAAGTCTGGCTCTTGTCATCGATTCTGTTTGTGATTTTAATGGACAATGTTTCTAGATTCAGGCAAGGGGAGGACAGTTTCAGGTATGGTAGCCTCAGGATCTTATCTTGGATTTTTGCTGTTGATGTGGTGCTCTTGGCTTCACTGGTTGATGGACTCTAGCTTACACAGCCATGGTTTGCAACCAAGTATTGAGCAGCTAGGATGACAGTTAGTACCCCAAAGTCTGGTTCTCATCAGAAAATGAAGGCATACCCACTTGGGGCAATGATCCACCATCCCAAGTAGAGAAGTTTAGGTATCTTTGGGTTTTGGTCATGAGTGAGGGAAGAAGGGAGTGGGAGACAGTCAAATGGATTGATGTAACACCCTGCAATAATGGGGTAAATATAGAGCTTAATTCAAAAGTGTGACCTTACTACTTGAGCTATGTTTTATATTTTTACCCTTACGTATGGCCGCAAGCTCTGGGTAGTGACTAAAAAAGTGATACACAGATAGAAGTTGTGGAAATGGACATTATTGAAAAGGTTCCCTGGCCTCAACCTTAGAGATATTGACCTTAATCATTGGAAAGGAGCACAGGGTAGAGCTGCCAACTGGATGTCCAACTGATAGAAGACCCTGAAACAGAACCAGGACAGCGTTTATTGTAGATTTAAATGTTAGTTGATTTGGGAATGATCAATGTTTGTACTGCATATTATAATTTAGCTGAAATATGGTTTTCTAATTATAATAAAATGATTGGTCACTGTTAATACATGGTAGATTTAAATAAATATATCTAAATCTCTTCATCATACATCTCTACATTGATGCCTTCTTAACCATGTTAGTGAAGAAGTTTTTATGAACAGTCTTTATTCCCTGCAGCAAAAAAAAACAACCCTTTTCTTCTTGTGACTGTTGTTGGTTTGATAAGTCCTCTACACTGGCAAAGGGAGAGGATACCAAAGTTTTTGCAACAGCCTGGGGGCCTCTCTTAGGGTTTGCCCAGAGAAATCTAAAGCACCTGAATCTCTTTGATCATAACCTCATCCTCAAGGAAGCAATGATCTACTCCATGCTGGCATGGCACCTCTCCTCTGACAAACCCTCCCTGACCCATACTCATCCCAGGGAAGATTGAGTGGTAGAATCACTACATGATTGCATCTTATTTTCACTCATCTTAGAGCAAGCTTTCATCTTTCTGCTCACTGTGAAATACACAAACCCACACACACAGACACACAGAAAAGAGAGAGAGGACAGTTGAATTTTCCTGCCTGATTCTAGACACATTCATTGAAAATTAAGTTACAGGAATCAATATTAACTACTGATTACAATAATCACACATGTATTTGCTAGTTCAATAATCACCTCAAATACAATTTATTCACTGATGGAAATTGGTGGGTGGTAGAAAGTGTTGAAATATGCTGAA